TGGGGCCAGTCCCTAGCATATGCTGCCTGCCCTGGCTGAGCTGGATTAAATCTCTGTCCTAGTAGGTCGGGCAGATGTTTCTGCTAAGAGGCCAGGGGAAGGACTCGAATGGTGTCTGCCAACTTCTGTCAGCACACCTGTACCTGGTCACAATAACAGCTGGATCCAATGTCTCAGTCCCTATGGAGTACTCACCTCACAACAAGATGTACCTGGAGCCTTTCAAGTGAGTCTCTTTTCATGAAAGGACTATGCACCTTTCTTTTTCATGATTTTAGGTTGCTTTGTGAAATGGGTGACTTTTTGTGTGGGCCCTTTAAGAACAGGCTTTTTTTTTTTTTACTTCTGTTTGATAGTTTTCTTGAGGTATTCCCAGTTCTAGTTAATAGCCTCAAAACCAGATAGTATGACTCTTGTCTTGGTTGTGCTGAGTCCAAATGCTGCTTGTTGTGGTAACGCTCACCTGCTCAGGTCCCTCACTCCTCCAGCGAAGCCTTCATACCTTAGGATTGCTCTCAGCCAGCCACAAAGCACTGCAGCTCAAAGGTGGCTTCTCTCTCTCCAGAAGGAATTTCTGCCTCTTCCACCTTGGTCAGCAGTGTCCTTTGTTGTGGGGGTTCTTTTTATCTAGTTTTCAGTTCTCTCTCAGGGATAATTGTTCCAAGAGTAGTTGTAAATTTGTTGAGTCCGTTGGAGGAGGTGAGTTCAGTTTTCCTATGTTGTCATCTTGACACCATCTTTCCTGTTTACTTCTTAACTACTTCACAAGGGTAGTTTGAAGCTGACCACAGATAGATTGCACTAGCAAAGGAGGAAATAGTTCTTAACCTGGCTTCATTTAAGCTGCTCAAATATTTATTTTCATAAATAAACTGTGGTGACACCAGTTTTCAAGCCTACATTGAGATTTCTCAATGTTTAAAAAATATTCTATTTCCAGCCCAAGTAAAATTGTACAAAATGGCCCTTATATAAGTGTACTGTCCAATAAAGCAGCCAGTGGACATATGTGGCTATCTACATATTATTTTGAATTCATGCAAATTAAATAATATTTAAAAATAAAATAATTAGTTCCTCAGTCTCACTAGGCACATTTCAATTGCTCACTAGCAACTGAATAACTTTTCTATATTAACACTTACACAATGGTTAACATGGATTTCTATATTGACAGTTATACAATTGTTAATATAGACTCAACATAACCTGGCCCAGTCTGCCTTTCTAGTTATTCTATTTCCATAAACTTTATGTTCTAGCTGCGAATAAACTTGATCCCTTAGTGGTACAGAGCCAAAAACCTTGTCTGATGTACTTTTTTTGGCATTATTTTTCATGCTTACTTAGTTCCTGTGAGGGCCTTCTCATTTAGTTACTTAGAAATTGGAGGAAGCATGGTTACTGTTTGACTGACTGCTGGAGGCCAGTTGAGACGATATAGAGGATTTTAACTCTAGAACATTAGAACAGCTTTTTTGTAAAGACAGGAAGGACAAGTGAAGTAGCTAATTAGGGGAACAGAAAACCTCAAACAAGAGGTCTTTAGAGTTTTTACTGTAAGAGCCAGGAAATTTAGTGCTGCTCTGTGGCATAAAGATTAGGCATTAGGACAAACAACCAAGGAGGTGGGAACCTGGCCAGGTGAGACTGCTCCTCCCAATAGAGTGATACAGACCATCTTTCTCTGGGAGCTCGTGGTTATTCCAGACATCCTTTACTTCAGCACAGGACAGGAACAGCATGCTGCTATGCCTTGACAAGCCTCTGAGGTTTGAAGCTGTGACCAGAAAGCTTGAAGGTGTGGCTAGAATCTGTGTGCTAAGCTTCTAGCTGACAAAGTTAAGATTCTCAGGAAGGAATGGGTAAAATGTGTGGTTTCCCAAATGAAAAAATTTGCAGCGAAGCAGCCAGGAAATAAATATTAGAATGCTTTATATATTCATGTTGTGTGTTTTGCAGAAAAGTGAATTCAGAAGACAGAGTTCCAGAACATTCAAAGCATTCATAAATTTTCTCATCTATTTGCTTTTTTAACAGTGGTTGTACAAGATAGATGAAGTTTGGTGCTTCCAATTTTGTGCTGTGATCAAAGCACCATGATAGGAGTTTCATTTAGGCCCGTCGGAAGTTACTGCTGTTATCTTCTGATGCTGATTGTCTTCTCATTTAAGAAGAAATTTGCCTTTTCCAGAAATTCAGAGCTTGGTAATAAAAAGAAACTAGAGCTTAGAGGGAACAGCTACCAATTTGGCTTTACAATCATTAATGTCATTCTGCCTCTCTCTAAAACTGTAAAATTTAGATTTGTAGTCAACTTCTCTTATCTTGAACATGTTCATCGAGTGCACACGTAGGCATCATCTCTCTTCTATGTGCTGCAGTTATAATAATGAACAAGACAGATGAGGTACTCACCCTGTGGAGTTTATGTAGAGGAGACAGACAACTATGTAAGTGTTAAAAGGTGTCAGTGTGTCAGGATATCTGGCTTGCGGTCCTGGCTCTTCTAGTATTTATAGTACCTTGGGAGAGAGAGAAAAAATGAACATTTACCTATTCTGAAGTCTAAGAAATCCTGTCTTTGGTGATAATCTTATTGAATTCTTCCAGGTCTATGAAGTGAGTGATATTCTTATTAAACAGGTGAGGCAAAGGAGGCTAAAGCTTTGAAGTGACTTGTTCAAATTTTTACAGCTAGGAGGGATCTGAACCTTGGACCTCACATAATAATATTTAATATTTAAGGTGTACCTACTATATTTTCTAAGTCTGGTTAGGGACTTTATATACACTATCTCATAATAAATATTAATATTAATTAATTTAGTATTAAATTAAATATTTTCAGAATATTATTTCTATTTTATTGTAGTGAATCCAAACTTTAGAGAAGTGAAGTGACTTGCCTCAAGTCACACATAGAAGCTAGGGCTGGTATTTCAAACCAGATCCACCTGGTTCCAGAATTCATGCTTTGTGGCAGAGGTTTGTTGAAAATCCAGGCCCTTTGAATCCACAGTCCATTTGTGCTCTGTGTATTCACTCAGGACTGATTTTAAACATGGATCAAGAATTAGCAATAATGTGTTCTTTGACAAGTCAATTAACCTCTTAACATTAATTTTTTCATTTGTGAAATGGAGACAATAATTAATAGCTGTCAGCTTTGAGAGGTTTCAATATGGTTATACACACAGTAGGTCCTCCAATAAATGATAGTGTCTCTGCCACCTTCTTGACAATCATTACTCTTTCTCCACCCCTACACCCTATATTTTTTCAGCAGAGCTCTTTTATGTCTTTATTTTTGGCATTGCCATAGAGGGCTGGGGTTCTTTCTCTGTTTTGAAATTGATAAAGTCAATCCAAGATTAGGGTAAACTTGCTGCTTGGTAAGTATTCCTGAAGTGTCCAGACTCTTCTCATGAAACTTTGCTATATTACTGAATTAAATTAGTCTCTGGGAGGTATTTCAGTGGCCTGCCTGTGCCTGGTGACAAGTGGTAGACCTCAGTGGGGATTCAGAGATTAAGAACGTCATCGGGGGACAAGTAGGCCAGTTGAGGGCAAACAACAGGCAGCATAACCTAGACTGGGTGCTAGTGGTCAGAACACTCAGTAGACCATGTCTGCAAAGTAATAGGGAGGAGAGATGGGGGCATGAGCAGGGGGAATGAGAAGGATGGGGAAGTTTTCTAAAGTGGGACAGTTTAGCTGTGGCTAGAAGTGGGGAAGAGAAGAAAAGAATAAGCAAGACATTTGGCCACATCTGGTGAAATTGGGGTGGGTCTGGCTCGGCATAATCAAATTCCCCTATGTTCCACGCCTCACTCCTCCTCCTCCACACTCCATATTAACCACTCTCGCCTGATTTGAAGAGCAATTTAAACTGGCTTCACAGAGCTGTCCGTCAGAAGATTGACAAGGCCTGTTTCAAACAAAAGTGAAATTCAATGAGAGACTTGGGTGTATTCTGGCACAGTTTGGCTCATAGAAACAGAATTCTAGAAATAAATTTCTTTTAGCTGGAAGGTTGTAGATCTTCGTGAAGTAAGATTTGTACACAAAACTCAACTAGAGGAATAATGCAGCAGTATCTCGTAAAAAATCACTCGTGAACATTGCATACATGACTAGTGGTGTATAATGGGAACAAATTTTCTGGAGGGTATTTGGTAATATGTATCAACATTCTTTATTGTATATACTCCTTCAGCCCATAATTTCGTGTTTATAAAATTTTCCTAAGAAAATATTCAAAAGTACAGGTCAAATATTTTTTTTATTAAGATTATGGTAGTTTTTTATACTGTCAAAAATTTGGGAACCACATAAATGTCTGACAGTAGAAGATTACTTAAATAAATTATTGCATAATCCACATGGATAATAACTGTATCTGGTTTTAAAATGACATTTTACATAAATAGTTTTTAAATGAAGAAATTTTTATTTATTAAAAAATTATAGATCAAAAACATTGTCTATGGAATGACACCACTTTGATAGTAAACGTAACGCACGGATAAAAAAGTAGAATATGCACCAAAATTTTTTTACTGGAATTATGGACGTTTTAAAATAATTTCTAAAATACATTTATCTGCAATAAACATAAATGGGAAAGAGAAATAGTCTTTTTTTCAAGTAGCAGCATATAAGAGAAAGTTTCTAACAGATTATTTATGAGTTGAATCAAGTAGTACACATTTTTGTGTATTTGTATATATATATATTTATACATATACATTTTAATAATTTGTCTTTACTAGTAGTTTCCTTTAAGTATGCCAGTCTTTGTTAAAGATATTAGTTTGTGTTTCTCCAAAGCTGTGTTCATTTATCTTTTCAGTCCTCAAATATAGATTTTGAATGTTATTTTGTGAAGTGTACCAAGTGTTTGGTTACTTGAAATGGAGGAAGATATAACTGGTGACCATTTTTCCTTTCCCGTCAACCTCAGCTTTTATCATACAATTTCCTTTTATCACTTTGGTCAAGAGGAGGGGCAGACAATTTTGAGTTGGAGTACCACTCAGAGACAATTCATTTCTGCCTTCCGTCTTACAGCCTCTCACACCCAAGGGATCCAGGATTGGAAAGGCCGACTTCTCCCACCTTGTTCTTGGGTCAGCTTTCTCCTCCTGCATCGCTGCATGGCACAGACACAGGTACCCTCTGCTCTTATTCTTTCAGATCTTTGTATCTGAGTATACTGTTAGTCCTACTTGTAAAGAAAAAATTCTAGGAATATGGCATTTTATTACAAATGACTTGACATGCACAAGGGATCGATGGGAAAGCATTCTCTATTGATTGTTTTAGAACTGCATTAACTCAGAAGGATGTGAAAACTGTAGTTCAGCATTCACGGAAAGTTATTTTCTTTTTTTCAATATGCTACAATTTTTTCTTTGTGTTATCTAAGTGAAGAGGGCTTTGGGGGGTTAATTACATTTGGGCCTAATGATTTACGTATTATCTTATCAATCTTAAATGATTCTGTAATAGAAAAGATTCCTTTTCCTTAGGAAATTAGAGAAAATGTGAACAAGTTTAGAAAATTTTGTAAATTAAAAAAATTTTTAGAGAATATAGTTACATGTGCAATTTGCTTTCCATATTTCTTGTTTTGTGGATATCATCTTTTCCCCTTGATTAGTATAAACAGCAAGGTAAATTTTAAATATTTACTATTTAAAAATTTCTTTTTATATTAATATCCATTAATAGATTGAATCCTATATGGATATTAAGTAATGACTACCCACTAACAAATGTTACTTTCACATAGGCTTCTTGACAACATCATACACTAGAAGATTATTTCTAAAATTTTAGTATACATGGAATCATTTGGGATTAAAAATACAAGTGTCTAGGTTCCAACCTAGCAGACTTTTATCCAGCACATCTTGCATGGGGCACTGGAATCTGGAATGTTAACCAGTCTGCAATGTTAACCCTCAGTAATTCTTTTGCCGATGGTGTATGGGATACACTTTGGGAAATAGAGTCATGTTGTAATTGAATAGAATGCAAGAAGTTTTTAATATTTATATGTAAATCTGAACATGTATATTAAGTTTTTTTTAAAGTCAAGATAATTATATTTTTTCAGAATTTTAAGAACATAGCATTTTGGTTGTTTGACTTGATAGTTTTAAAAGTATTTCAGTAATTTGGGATGGTATCAATTCTGCCTAACATTTGTATATGTCTCTTGAACATTTTGAGCTATACTGGCTGGGGCAATAGGACCCAGCCTGTTCAACGTATTGCTAGTTTCTTAAAAATTCTCTCTGTACTTTTAAATAATTATGGAAGTTATCATTAGCAATATAAATGACTTTGTCAGAGGTATCGAAAGGTTTTCCATTTCTTTTTTTTTTTTCTGAGGAAGATTCACCATGAGCGAACATCTGCTGCCAATCCTCCTCCTTTTGCTGAGGAAGACTGGCTCTGAGCTAACGTCCGTGTCCATCTTCCTCTACTTTATATGTGGGACGCCTACCACAGTGTGGCTTGCCAAGCGGTGCTGTGTCCGCACCCGAGATCTGAACTGGCAAACCCCAGGCCGTGGAAGCGAACGTGTGAACTTAGCTGCTGCCACACTGGCCACCCCCTCCATTTCTTATATAAATCAAACTCAGACTACATGCTTTAGGCACTTAAAGGAGTTAATAAACACCCCCCTCTTTACACATAGGGATATACACACATACCTCTTAATCCTGGATATGTTCCTACAGACTGACATTTTAATTTCTCTTTACATAGAAATAATCCTGTTGCGAAGTTTTAATGCAGAACATATTTTTCTTGTTATTCTAGACATGAGCAATCAGGAAGTGACTTATTCCTCCTTGAGATTTCTTCAGGCTCCTTCAGAGTCACAAAATAGTGTAAGGCCTCGCAGTACTCAAAGACCTGGGAAAACTGATGACAAAGGTATATGTTTTAAGCATCTACATTCACCCGTCTTTTATGGATTGTCAAACTTTAGGCTTTTGAAGAAAGTGTTTCTATCCATACTTCAGATTCTCAGATGTTGAAATGAAATCATAATTGCGTAGACTAGTAGAATGAGTCTCTTTTTTTAAGTTTGTGAGAATGGAGAAATTAATGAATTCTTTTAAATTTGAGAAGCTAATAGAATGTTTTCAAATTTGTTTCAAAAGGAATTCATGAGGCCTTTAAAAGTAAAGGGCAGAGCCAGCCACGATGGCCTAGCGATTACAGTTTGGCCTGCTCCTCTTCAGCTGCCTGGGTTTGGTTCCTGGGCATGGAATCACACCACTCATCTGTCAGTAGTCATGCTGTGGTGGCAGCTCACATAGAAGAACGGGAAGGACTTACAATAGAATATACAACTGTGTACAGGGGCTTTGGGGAGAGAGAGAGAGAGAGAGAGAGAGAGAGAGGAAGATTGGCAACACAGTTAGTTCAGAGCAAATCTTTCAAAAAAGAAATTAAAAGTGAAGGACAGACTAGAGTCTCAAGAAAACATTGCATTTCCTAGAGAAATAGAAGTCTTAAAGAATGAGAAATCTAAAATGTGCCTTAGAAGAAATGTTTTTATTCAAACAAAAGATAGGTGTCTTAAACACTTACAAAACTTCATGGCAACAAAGAAGTCAAAATGTTCAAATCAAAAGGAGCATTCTAACTTTTCTGTTCTTTCTCTCTCCCCTCAAATATTGTCACAAACTCTAAAGTGAGAATAACTTTTACTTGTTTAATCTAGTGGCAGAGATACAACTTTTAGAAACCGAAGACCTCAAGATTAGGAGGATAAATATAGTAATGACCAGAGAAAAATAGAACTGATGGAAAAGAAAGTTGATTTCTAGAAACACCTTTAAAGATGAACCCCAATCACATTCGCAGCTTCAGAATATCCACTATTGGCCTCCAATTTCTCAAGAATATTGACTCCCTTTCCTTGCTCTTCATGATTAATTGTCATCTCAGGAAGGAGTATATACGACAGTGTAGATTCTCATAAATGTGTATTGTGTCTATTGCCATCTGTGCTTTTGTAAGGGGTGTGCTTTTAAAATCCTATAGGACTGTTCTTGGGTGTAACATTTCTACAATGAGTGTATGTCAGACAGAAGTTGGAAACTTTAAAACTGTAATTATGAGATCACAAATTTAAATCAGTTTGCATGATATCTTTTTGTAAAATTTTTAGAGAAGATTGTCTTTTTGTTCCAAATGTTGTACTAGGTTAAGGTGAGTAGTGGGCCTGGCTCTATTCTTAATGATTATTTTCTTCTTTCCTTCTTTAAAGAGACTTCAGTGCCCTGGCATCTCTTGGTAGTGACTCTTGGGATCCTCTGTTTACTTCTTTTGGTGGCAGTCACAGTGTTGGGAACAATGAGTGAGTAACTGAAATATATCCTTCAAGTCTGAGTGATAGCAGTAACTGGTAACTGCACACATATTAAACATGCTCCAACAATTGTTCCTTGGCTGTAATCAGGAAACGTCCCAGGTGTCTGTTTTTTTTGGTGATTTTTCCACAGACACATCACAATGTCGTTTTCATTTTACTTACCTGTTCCAGTGACTTCATCTGTAATGTGCTTTCTCATTCTGTATAATACGTGGTAACATTCCTCTGATACGGGACCTAGTAATATTCTGCCTACTGAGTAGATCATTGCGAATGTTGGCTGAACATTCTCAGAGAAGCAACTATTCAAAAGAAATTATGACTTTCTCTAAGTATAAAATGAAGAAGTGGTTTAATAAAAATAATTATTCTATGCATGGATCTTAGATATCTTGAATTTAACCTTTAGCTTTTATATGAAATCCTTGACATCTTTAGAGAAAATCATTCATATGATTTACTCAGATCAGATTATATTCTTGGATCTTCCTCTCTTTTCTTCTGTGGATATTCCATCTACTCCGAAGATAATGGTGCCATTTCTTCGTGTGTCTTCCTGCAGATTTTCGTACTCAGAAGACATGTCGCTAAATGTTGATTGACTGATTTCCACTTTTAGATTTATTTTTAAATGATGTGCTAACTGTTAAAAAGAAACTAAACTGAATGCTGAGGTGTTACCATTATAATTTTATTCAGATATCTTATTTTATTCTATGCTTACATTGCTAATAGTGAGAAATTTGATGTTTCTATTTCTCTGGCCAGTTTATGGAGATGTTACTTTCTAAATGTCAAATTACTAATTAAAGTAATGAAATGGGTTGATTTTTAAAGTGAGACTTTTTCTTTTGTATTAAATTTCAACATTTAAACATTATGAGTACTTTTTGTGTTATATCTATACTATTAATTTTAGTTTTTCGGTGTATTCGAGAGAAACAACAGGAGGAAAGTAGACAAAACCTCAGTCAAAAGTACAACATTATGCAAAAGGAGAACTACTTAAAGGAGCAACTTTTGACAAATAAGACTTTAGAATATGGCATTCTCAAAAATCAAACTCTTCAACAGAAGAAGGAAATAGCTTCACTCTTTAAAGAAAAGATGAGATGTCATCGAAAACAGGGGATCTTGTCAAGGTCTTTGCAAAATACAGGTATGGAGGAATTCGTGAGTGACAGGCAGCATGACCTTTCATTATTTCTTCCCCCTCCAGAAGCTTTGAGGCCTAATAAGAGGCTGAGGATATGCGCTAGTGATGCAGGTCTACTAAACAACTTTAATTTGTGCCTCTTAGTGTGGTGTGGGTATTCGGGTTACTTGTTTCAAATATGGGATGAAGACCCCAGAAGACGTGTTTGGATTAGCAGAGCCCTGTCTTTCCCCAAATTCAATGGCGGTTCTTGTATTCCTACTGCTCCCAGAAGGTGAAATAGTACATCAGATCCCCTGAAAATTTGGATGATTTTGGAATTGTGGGCAAATTAGACACTCCCACTTTGTAGCTGATGTGAAATATGGAGGCTATCAGTAAAAATGTACTTAGGATAAAATGGGCAGAAGGCCTTTTATTTGGATGCTGTTGTAACGATAATTGTGTTTCCATTCTGCCTTGACTTCAGCTGTTTGGTCTGTTTGTGATCAATATGTATTCCCTGCAGTATGTCTGCAAGATTTGCCATAGTGTTGATGCTTGTGCCACTCTGTGTGATGGTACCGTTAAAAACGTGCAAGATATAAGAATATTAAATCTCATACAATAAACTCTAGCATCATGCATAAGAATGAAATGAATTGACCTGGCTAATCAACAGCTACTCAATATTTGCTTAGGATTTAGAGTTTACAAAGAGATTTTGCATATTTAATATAATTTAGGTATGGTAGTTAGTAGAAATTCACTGTCTCTATGACTAGAGGATCAATAATATTTTAAAAGTTTGGTATATTGTAAAATACGTGAGGAAAAGCAAAAAAAAAAAATCCAAAGACTAACATTTCTTTTCTCTAGAAGGCATTCCAAAATGCTTTTCTTGAATTTTATTTTATTATTTTTAAAACCAGCTTTATTGGGGTATTATTACTATGCAAAGAACTGCACAAATTTAATGCGTGCAATTTTATGCATTTGGGCTTGTGCACTTATTTGTAAAACCATCCACAGTTAGGGTAATAGACATATCCATCACTCCCAAAAGTTTCCTCTTGTTCCTTTTTTTGTGGTAAGAACACTTATTATGAGATCTGTCCTTTAAGAAGCTTTTCAGTGCACAATTCACCATTGATAACTGTAGGCAATATGTTGTATAACGGATCCCTAGAACATATTCATCTTGCATAACTGAAACTGTATACCCATTGGCCTACAACTCCTCATTCCCCCAACCCGACCCCGCCCAAGCCCAGGCAACTACCATTCTACTTTCCATTTCTCTGAGTCTGATTAATTTTTATATCTCATCTAAGTGGAATCATGCAGTATTTTTCCTTCTGTGATTGGCTTATTTCACTTAGCATAAGCTCCTCAAGGTTCATCTATGCTGTTGTATATGCCAGGATTTCCTTTTTTAAGGCTGAATAATATTCCATTATGTGAATATACCCCATTTTCTTTATCCATTCATCCATTGATGGACATTTGGGTTGTTTGCATATCTTGGCTATTGTGAATAATGCTGCACTGGATATGGGAGAGCAGATATCTCTTGGAGTTCCAGAATATTGATGAACCTCATATTATCATTATTGATGGCTATTAAGAGTTTCTTTATAGACGGCTGATAAATATATTGCTCTGCTTCACAGAATACCAGAGGACAAGAAGTTTAATGTTTCACCTTCTATGTTGTAGGCAAACTCTATGACAACCGCTGGTCCTGTTGTGGAGTAAACTGTTATTATTTTACAACTGAAAATAAAGACTGGAGGGGATGTAAACAGACTTGCGAAAGTTACAATTTATCTCTTTTGAAGATAGATGATGAAGATGAACTGGTATCATGGATTGTTACATTCGCTTTTGTTCTCTTGGACTCTGTCTCTCATCCTTGGACCCAAGATATTGAGGGCAGGGGGGAGTCCAGAAAGAGGGACCTTCAGTTATTCTTTGTGTTGTGTCTGTTGAGTGAGCCAAAATTGCATAGGTAAGAGTCTGCCAGGAGACCTGCCAGCAGGCATATTATGTATCCTGATGACCATTATTATTTCTAAAATGGAAACCCCCTTGAAGGTGCAGTTTGGGGCTTTGCAATCATCTCCCTCTCTAAGGAGTCTGCAGTAGACCTGCTCATGGAGAAGTATGCTTTTGCTTCAATGAAATAGTTAAGCATTTGGTAAACTGTGGCCTGGAACCAGCAGTTATTTCTCCCTATAAGTGGCAACTAAGAACCTGGAGGCAACATGGTCTAGTAGTTAGTTTTGGGAGTACAGGAGCCACACTGATTGGAATAAAATCCAGCTCTGCCACTTACTGGCTGGGTGAGCTTGGATAAACGACTTAACCTCTCTGGGCCCGCGTTTTCCCATTGGCAGAATAGAGATAATGATGAGGAATAGGAAAGTGATAACAGTTTTACAAATTAGCTTTATGGTGATTTTGATTGCATCTATAGGTAACATGTACTTGATCAATATTCTTATATATTACATCAACATGTATATCTTTCAAAAAGAATTATAAAAAGAGAAAATACAGTGACAATAATATCAAAATTACCTTTTTAAGGGGCTGGCCCCGTGGCCGAGCGGTTAAGTTCGCGCGCTCCGCTGCAGGCGGCCCAGTGTTTCGTTGGTTCGAATCCTGGGCGCGGACATGACACTGCTCATCAAACCACGCTGAGGCAGCGTCCCACATGCCACAACTAGAAGGACCCACAACAAAGAATATACAACTAGGTACTGGGGGGCTTTGGGGAGAAAAAGGAAAAAATAAAATCTTTAAAAAAAAAATTACCTTTTTAATTTATTACTAATGGAAACTATCCACACACGCAGAATGTGATTTTGTAGAGAAATGTTTGCAAAGATCAGCCTGAAGCCTCTATTTATTGTGTAGGAAAATAAGGCAAAATTTATACGTAAATCTAATAGATATTTTAAACCACAACATAAAAGAATTTATGATATCAGTTTATAAAATAACTTTTTATGTTTGTTGCAGTAAAACACAGTTACATTTAAATCTTTTTCTAAAAATACATTGTCATCTAATCAGATATCATGTAATATGTCACTTTGATATATTACATTTTTGGAGAGTCAATATTTCCAAACACTGCCCTTTTCCCTGCGCCTCTTCCAACTACTGAACTCCAGCAAGGCTCTCTCTTATGAGGCTAAAGCCTCTAGGCACGTCTCCCCACATACACTTGTTTTAATAAACTTGTTTTGAAGATTCCTCTTTTCACTTAAGAATATATAGTGATCATTTTTATAGATCTGTAAGTAGTTTTCTGGAGCCTGACTTTAAATGGTTTCATAAGGTGTCATAAATTATTTATCAAATCTCCTATTGTTAGATAACTAGATTTTAAATTTTTCCATGTTTTAAATAATCTGTGAGACTTGCAGCCATTTTTAACATAAATAATCCCGGGAAAAATTACTTTCAAAAATGTAAACACAGGGATTGAGGGAAGAGAAGGTTTTTTAGGAAGGAGTGGTGAAGAATGATGTGGAGAGGAGCAGAGAACTTGGCAGAGAAACAACTGGGCCCTTAACCTGTCCTTCTTTTCATTCTCTAACAGGTTGGAGTTCAGTCACATGATATCCTTTGTTTCCTTTATAGGCATTTGTTCAACCCCAGACTTATAGAGATAGCTACTGGATTGGATTATCATACAGTGCAACGGAAAGTAAGTGGAAATGGATTGACAATGGCACATTTTCTGGAACGTAAGTCTCTGGAATGCATCCAAACTCCAATATTGGTGTTGGGGTTAGAACAATTGTATCTAAAAGGAACCTTCTCTTATTTTGCAGAGCTTAACTCATTTTCAGGTAGAGTTCATTGGCAAGAATAAGTAGAATGATTAAGAAAGCCTTTTAGGAAGTGTAGTTAAAAAAGAAGAGATGTGTTATACAGAGTTATCAATAATAATAAAATTATGATGTGATGATAAAAACACATGCTCAGAAGTAAGTCTTCAGAATTATTTTATTTAAAATAAAACACAAAGTAGAGTGATATGAAGAGACTGGACTATCCTGACTTACCCATAGTGAGCTCTCTGATAAGTGCAAATGAGTATTTTGAGTATCCCCCAAATTCATTTGAAACTCCTTTACATTATTAGTTTATATTATTCATAAACATCTGTGAGTATACACACGTACATATGCCTTCACTATAGCTCTTCTATTTTGAAGGGCAGTATTTTGTAAACTCTTGAGTTTACATTTAATTATAATCTGCTGTTAAACTGTTCAATGATTTTTTAAAAATCTGAATAATGTATTATATTTTTTATTTCTAGAAATTCTGCTTTATGTTTCCAAGTCTTCTTGCTAGTTACTCAGATTTTCAAGCTTTCTTTTATTTCTTGAATGATATTAAATATTCTTATTTTATATTTGGTATCAGATAATTTTTATCTTTGAAGTTTTGCGGGTCCACTCTATTGTTTGTGATGGCTTTCCTTCATGATGCCATTTTCTTTGTAGTATTTAGTGATTTTCTTTCCTTTTTGATCTGCTGTGGAAATTATTCAAAGACTGAGTTGAAGGTGGCTTCCTCAAGAAAGAATTTCCTTTTGTTGGATTCCTTGGGGCACTATGAATCTGGGCCACTGATTCTAAATTCTACATATGGGCCCTGTAAATGTTGTTCTGGGCTGCAAACCTACAAAAGATGTCATGCAGGAAATTACTTTAATGTAATTGTAGCCTGTAAGTACACTTTCAGGCCAACAGTCTCAGAGGTCAGAGAACAGAAAGGTTCACGGCTAAATTAACAAGCTCAAATTTCATGGTTAATTAAATCAATTTAAAACTCATTGCCCTCTGCAGGGGAAGGAAATGGGATAGCTCTCACATTTGGGTGGGATGGGATACGTTGTCATGCTAGGATAAGGTGCAAATGGATGAAAGGATTGCCTGAGTCCTGGGTTATGCAATCTTTATGTGGCCTGACTCTCTCTGCTGCATACCCCTTCCCTGCTGATGGTTTCTAGCACCAGATTTGAGGTTTGAGTAAAGAGGCCCAACAGACAGAAGGTTCTTGTGACGATCATGCACATTTTCTCTACTGGGGAGATGCAGGGGCATGTAAGCTTGGGCACAGCTGCAGCTTTCCATTTAACCTTAGCTGCAGCCACGGATTTTATGTGAATTTCTTAGGCAGAGGGCCAGATGAGTGTCACCAATGGATGGGAAACTTAAGACCTCATGAATGTTGAGTATCTATGTGCGTCACATATATCTTGACTGTTGTATTTAGTGTCTACTTAGTTCTTTCGTCCCTTCCCATGATCAGCACACATATGCTCTACTTACTCTGTGTATACCTAACATGTCTCATAGGTTACTTACTTATACATACTTACATCTTGTATGTTCTGCCTCTGCCTCATGAGCTACTTAGTTTCATTTATCTTCCTTGTTTATTTCTCTTTATCCCTGTAGCAGATCTGAATATTCTTAAATAATGTAGCAAATGCAGCTTACATGGGGGATGGCGTATGATTTTGAACTGTTAGGTGGGATTATTCTTTTTCCCTTGTTTTTCTCAAGGTTCACGAAAGGTCTTGGGTGGTTTATACTGAGGATATATCCCTTTGGGTCTCCACTCTATGTAGCTTGCCCTCTATTCAGAATCTTGGATGGAATTCATTATTCAGCCTACTACATCAGTTAAGGCAAAACTGACTTCAGAGCTTCAACTACCCTCCTGGGTTCACACCATTACTTCACCCTCCGCTTGAGTATGAATTTGCTTCTTGCCAATTCACAAATTTATCAAGAAGGGTTAAACTTTTTTATTCAACATTTTTAATTGTTTCAATAGGAAGATAGTTCTGGTATCTAATCCACCACTTTGCTGAAATAGAAGTCTCCCTTTTAGATATTTTTTCAGTGCGTTCTCATGTTTTGGCTAACAATTATTAGCTATAGGGTAGGGAAGGAAAAGAAACAAAACAAATAAAAACATCAATTAAACCTCACCTCTGTCTGTATTCCAATTCCACCTTTTCTCCTTAAGGTATATACACATGAGACTTGGTTATCTCTGTCACAGAACTTCAGTTCTTCTTTTTAACCTCTCACTTTTATTGAAATAATTAAGATGAGAAAGCTGGTTTCCTATATGTCATGATGCCCTAGCAATATTGCAAGGTAATTTCACCTGCTGACTAGAAATTCCTAGTGTGGAATACCAGGGAAGATGATGGGTGTGATCAGAAGGCTGTTATTATAGTAAATGGGCTAAAACCAAAAGACAATCTTTTAGTGATGAAGTTAAGATTAACATTTCCATATTCCAGATCTTTAGGCAAGAGACTTAAAAAGATAATGGTTTATGTTATTGTCAGCTTCAGAATTCAACAGTTGACCATGTCTGTTTTCTGTTCTACAGTAATTTGAAAATAATCAGTTTGCATTCCGGGATTAAAGGATGTGCATTTTTAACCGCAACAAAAATAACAGCTATTGATTGTGATAATGAATATAAATGTATCTGTGAGAAGAGAATTGATAGTGTTTTCACTGCCTGCTTCAATTGACACAGAAGAAAAGGTGAAATGGAATTTTGTCATTTTTTATTTGTTTCCTTTAATAATTTGTGATTACTTACAGATTAATGTGTTTTGACAGGAGGATTTATTCCATTGTGGAAAAACAGATGAGTTGGAAGAGGAAGAAAATGCTCTTTTGGTCTATTATATAAGAGCTTGGAGGCTGTCCGTCTTATTGGGGAGGAGGAGAAGATTTTGTCTTTGGAAATCAGTTGCCCTTCTCTTTAATGGCCCTGAGAAATTCTCTCCTCTTTCCCTGAACCACCCACAGAGCCAATGAGAGAACTCTGGTAAAGAGCCTGGGTCTTTGCCTTATGGATAGGATAAATCATTTCCATACCCTCTGGATTTGAGAGATAGCACAATTAAGGACAAAAAAATAGTTTTCCTGCCCTGTCCCCTGTCATTAAATTTTTTTTTAAATTTTTTTATATTTTCAAACTTATTGACGGGTTGAAAGAATAGTACAAGGAACTCTCATATAATCTTTACCCATAATTACCATTTGTTTATATATAATTCTAGCTGTGCTCTCCAGTTCTCTGTCTTTCTCCTTGCTGATTCATTTGATAATAAATTGGGGAGATTATGTCCCTTGGTCTAAATATTTACAAGAACACGGAGTTTATCTTGTAAACCATAGTACAGTTATCAAAATCAGGAAATTTAGCATTTCTACAGTGCTATAATTTTATCTATAATCTTTTCAAATTTCGTCAACTGTTCCAACAATGTCATTTATAGGTGTTTCTCCGCCATGTACAGGATCATGCAATACATTTACTCGTGATGTCACTGTAGTCTCCTTTAATCTGGGACGGTTCTTCAGGATTTCTTTGTCTTTCTTGACTGTAACATTTTAAAAATCAACTTTACTGAGTTATACTTTCAGGCAATAAAACACATCTATTTTAAATCCTGAGATCAATGGGTTTTTAACAAATGTATACACCTCTTAAGTACCAGCAGATCAAGACATAGAACGTTTTCATCACCTCCAAAATTCTTTTCTGTACCTTCCCACCCACCTCACCCCAGGCAACCAGTGATAAGTTTTCTGTGTCTATACCTTAGTTTTGCCTAGCCTAGAATTTCATACAACATGTGCTCTTTTGTATCTGGCTTCTTTTTCTCGGCATGTTTTTGAAATTAATTCAAGCCCTTTCATGTATCATTAGTTCATTCTTTTTGTTACTGAGTAGTATTCCATTGTATGGATATACCACAATTTGTTCATCCACCTACGGATATTTGACGTGTTTCTAATTTGGGGCTATTATGAATAAAACTACCATGAGCATTTATGTGCAACCCTCTGTCTGGACATGTTCTTTTCATTTCTTGTTATTAAATACCTAGGAATTTGATTGTTGAATCTATGGTAAGTGCATGTTCAAGTTCTTCAGAAACTTCTAGTTTGTTTTCCAATGTTGTTGTGTCATTTTATTTTCTCGATACCAACATATGAGAGTTCTAGTTGCTTCATATCATTGCCAATACTTGATATTTTCAGTCTCTTTAATTTTAGCCATTATGGTGGGTGTGTATTAGTATCTCACTGCACATTTTTTATTTGCATTTATCTGAAGATTAATGACATTGAGCATCTTTTCATGTGTTTATTGGCCATTTGTACATCTTCTTTTGTGAAGTGTCTGTTCAACCTTTGAAGTGTCTGTTCACTCTTTATCAAAATTGGATTTGTCCATCTTATTATGGAGCTGTAAGAGTTCTTTATATAATTTGGATACAAATCCCTTGTTAGATATATGTATGGCAAATACTTTCTCCCAGTCTGTCTTCCCTTTTCATTTTCTTAATGGTGGCTTTAAAAAGCAGAAGTTTTAAAATTTTGATGAAGCAAAATTGATCATTTTTTTCTTTTTTATGCTTTTTATGTCCTACAAAAGACAGCTTTGCCTGCATCAAGGTCACAGAGGATTTTCTGCCTTGTTTGCTTCTAGAACTTTTATAGTTTTAACTTATATGTTTAGTCTCTTCCCATTTCAAGTTAATTTTTGTGTGGGAGAAAAGGACTGAGGCTCACTACTATTTTATGTAGATATCTGAAGTTTTTGCACATTTTGTTGCAAAGACTTCCCTATCCTCGGTTGAATTACTTTGGAGGCTTTGTAGAAAAGTAATTGATCATATCTGTGTGGGTCTATTTCTGGATTCCCTATTTCGTCTTAGTGATCTATATGCCTATTCTTGCAATAACACCATACGGTCTCAGTGACATAGCTTTATAGTAAGGCTTGGAATTAGATATGTGGATCCTCCAAATTTGTTCTTTTTCAAAAGTATATTAGCTATTCTGGGATTTTGCATTTTCTCAAAATTTCTTCAAAACTGCTCGATGAGATTTTTCCTGGGACAGCATTGAATCTGTTGATAAATTTGGGAGAATTGATATCTTAACAATAATGAGTGTTAGAATTCATGACCACGACCTTTTCTCTCCATTTAGTTAGTCTTTTTAAATTTCTCTCAGCAATGTGATACATTTCAGGATATTCATCTTTAAATATTTGGTTAAATTTATATTTTTAATGCTATCATAAATGACATTTGACATTCTTTTCAAATTATTTGTTGCTCGTTTGTAGAAATGAAATTGGTTTTTGTAAATTGTCCTCATGTCCTATCACCTTGCTAAATTTACTTATTTCCTGTAGGTTGTTTTCTCCTTTCTGTAGATTCAGTAGGATTTTTCTGTTCTATGTACATAATTACATCCCATGAGAACAGAGAAAGTTTTATTTATCTTTTTCCTTCATTTTTTCTCTTGCTTTATTATACTGGTTAGCAGCTCTGGTACAATGTTGAGGAGAAGTCAAGATAGTAGGCATCCTTGCCTTGTTCCAGTCTTACAAAGAGAAGTATTTAGTCTTTCACTATGATGTGTGAGGTCAGCTGTAGGTGTTTTGTAAATCCTCTTTATCATGTTGAGGAAATAGCCTTCCATTCTTGTTGATTGAGACTTTCATCATGAAGGCGAGTTGATTTCTTTTACATATATTGTGATGATTATATAGATTTTTCTCTTTTAGTCACGTAATATGGTGAATTTGCATAGATTGGTTTTTGAGTGTTAAACAAAACTTACACTTCTTGGATAAATTCCACTTGGTCATGCTGTAGTTGTCCTGCTTTTTTATATATTGATAGATTTGCTTGGTAATATTTTATAGAATTTTGTGTTTATATTCATAATGGATATTGGTCTGTTATTTTCTTTTTTAAAATGTCGTTTCATGTTTACCATATTGGAGAAATACTGGCCTTATATATTCATTTGGCATGTTTTTGAATATCCATCTGTTTTTAGTGGGTAGGATTTGTATTTTCATTCCTTAGATATTTGATCAAATGGACTAGTGACATAATCTGGGTCTAAAGTTTTTTTGGGGAGAAGGAATTTAATTAGGAATACCATTTCCTTAATAGACAGGGTTATTTAAACATTCTGTTTCTTGTCAATTTTGATAATTTTTATCTTTCAAGAAATCTATCCATTTTGTTTAAATGGTCAATTTATTATCATATTGCTTTTCATAGTTGTGTAAGTTTCCCAGGGCTGCTGTAACAAAGTACCACAAATTTGACAGCTTAAAACAACCAAAACGTATTCTCTCACTATTCTGGAAAACAGACGTCCAACACCAAGGTATGAGTATGCTTCCTCTGAGACTTTGGGTGGAATCTCTTCTTGCCTCTTTCTGGCTTCCAGTGGTGGTTGTCGATACTTGGTGTCAATTGGCTTGTAGCTGCATTCCTCCATGTCTGCATCTGTCATCACATGAGATTCTCCCTGTGGGTCTCTGTCATTCATTCATTTTCCTCTTCTTATGAGGACACCAGTCATATTGGATTAGGACCCATGCTAATGACCTCATCTTAACTTAATTGCCTCTACAAAGACCCTATTTCCAAACAAGGTCACATTCATAGGTGCAAGGGTCAGGGCATAAACTTATCTTTTTGGAGGACACATTTCAACCTGTAAGAATAATTCCTTATTATCTATTTGCCGTTATTTCCTTATTCTCTGAAATCATGTCCTTTCTTTTCTGATGTTGTTTGTATTTCTAATATTTCTGCATTTGTGTTTTTAATTCTTGATCAGTCTAGCTAGAGATTTATATCAATTTTATCGATGTCATTGATGAACTAGCTTTTTGTTTCGTTAATTTTTTTACGTTTGAACACTTCCCATCTTATTTATTTCACCTTTTATCTTTATTATTTCCTCTCTTCTACTTAGTGTTTAACTGCTTTTATTTTCCTGGCTTCTAGAGTGAAAGCTTGTATATCCTCTTGTCAATTTGGGTCTTTACCTATGAGATCCAAATTAAACCTAGAAAGTTCATAAAGCTTTGTTATACAGGTTCAAGCATCCCCCATAACTGCACAGTATACAGGACCTAGTTCATGTGCTTTCCCTGGTTTCTCAGCCCATCTGTCTCACTCACCAGGATGCTCACCCAATTCCTAACCAGAGCAGCCCCAGCAATGCTTGTTTTGTACCTATGGTTGTAAAACTTGGACATCATAACTTGTCCAAGGCTAGATGTTGGCATGGCTTCCATCATGTCCACCTTGGTAGGAGCCCCGGTAGATTCAGTGTCCAGGTTGACCAGATCCCTCAGAGGCTGTGGCTTTCAGAGGTGGCCTGAAGGGTTCCGGTAAAACAATCCAGGAATGTAGGGATATAAAGGCCCTACATGGCAAATTTTCAGCAGAAAAAGAAGACAGGAGAGAGGCTGCCAATGAACTGCTAGCCCCCTCCTCCAACCTTGATGGACTCTTTGAAGATGCACTGTTTGTGTAAGGGCTCCCAGAGATGTTCCACATGAATGAGAAAGAAACTCTCTTCTTGGGAAGCTGTGGCCAGTTCAAAAATGTGTCATCTTGTACTTCCTTTTCCTCCTTCCCTGACTCATTTCCCTTTCCTTTTGCCTCTTATTCTTGCTTCCTTTGGGTTTCATTCCTTCCCCCCATTAAGTGTTATCACATAATGTTTTCTTCAGACTCTATTTTCCAAGAAACCCTGGCTTAAGATGGTGCCATCTAATGAAAGGCAGGATTGTAGCCATTCAGGGGAGTTTGCAATGAGGATTTGGTCCACATCAGATAACCTCTCTCTAAATCACCACATAAATCATTCACCAGTGAGAAAGGCAATGATGTTTACAGTATAACCGAAGTGAGAATTCTATATTATCTTCAGTGGCTTCATTGGGATCCCTACCAAACCTAGAGAGGAGGTGTAGGGACAGCTGGCCTCATGCCTGTCTTCTGCCTGCTTTGGAAATTAGAACTCAAGTCTCTTCCCCACAAAATGTTTCATTATTTGTACTACTCCCATTGAATAGTGAAGTGATTTCGGGGGTTTAAATTTAATTATGAATGATTGAAAATTATTTATGAAAAACCTGTTGAATTTAGAAATGCTGATAACACGTGACCATCAGCTGCATAGAAAGCAGATCTTCTGTACTGCGAATAGTTATTGGATGTCTAGAAGATATAAATCATGATGTTTCTCTATAAGAAAGAGAGATAAAGGAAAGGACAAGTCAAGAAGGTGGGACAATGCCCACTGTGTAAAGCCAAGAAACTAAGACTCACAGGTGACCTCCTAAACTTAAATAGTGCAGAAGACATAAGATGGAGGAGTTCGACAGAGACTGAACCTCTGTAATGGGGCAGGTCCCCCAATAGACTTGAGTCCTAGCTCCCTATTATGCCTGGTATGGCAGGAATCGTTAATGGGTAGTTATATCCGTACATTAGCCCAGAGATCCTAAGCTGAAGGAGGACATAATGGAGATAGTCCTATTAAATAAAGCTTGTATATAAAGTAAAACAGGAAAGGAACACTTAGAACAAGTTAATACACTAGATAAGGAACCTCAACCAGTGGTGACTTTAGCTCATGAAGAAAATGAATGGATGGTGGGAATAGAAAATGATAAAGATCAACTATGGCTTCATGACCTATTACAGAAGTGAGGCTATGATGATAAGCAAACGGTATGTGTATATGAAAAGCAACGGTATCTCTTTTCTTCTGTTTCCAGTGCCATTTAGTATAGGAAGTGTTAGTGCACTTTATCATTGCAGTGCAGATTTCCAAACTCTGAGGGGCCACATCTAGAGCTGATAGGAGGGACTGCATATGATTTGGAGGCCCAATGTTTGAGGTAGATAGACACAATGACTAATTGGGCTTTGTGTCTCTGCGTGTTGAGGAGAGGGTGAAAGCCTCTTTCGTGGTATAGCAGACAGCTGCCTCATATTGAGTG